CAAACTACGAGTATATTATTAACATCAAGTCTATCGTGGCCCAACAGAGTCCAGAATGTGGGTGGTTAGCGGGTGCTCTGGTGTGTTTTATTTCTTCTTTCCTATCAAACGTCTATCGTCCTTATCTCCCCTCCTTTTTTATGTTTGAATCTCTTGTACTTGTAACACCTCTGATCTTCTGGCGCTCATATGACCTTATGCAGTTGCAAGCGCCATCAAACATCTACTAAACCTAAAACTAAGAGCCCAGTACAATACCATTTAGTAATAGACTGAGAGTTTGTAAGATGACAATGAAGAAACGAAAAGGATGTTATGAATTGTAATAAGAAAATATGACTATAACTTTATTCACAAAGTGTTGAATTATACTTCTGAATATATGGTACAGGTCGCGTTTCATGCCAATGGTGGCAACGTACAGGAATTCTGCTTGTAAGAAAGTATTTGAAACTAAAATGTTAATGTCTTTGGTCTAACCTTATAAGAATCTCAAGTCAAAAAGAGGTTGCCTTATAACAGACGTCGCTAAAATGCAGCCCACAGCACTGCATGGTAGGCTCCTCTGGTCTGCCGCCAAGCCAACATGCGGGATTTTTGTTGTTGTTGTTGTTGGGTTTTGGTGTGGTGGGGGGCGGTTGGTGGAAGGTGTGCTTGTAGCGTGTCTTTGTCACCAGCATAATAGCATAATAGTTTAATAATTTCACTGGACTCTGCAATGTAAATCCAACGTGTTTTTACAGACTCCATAACTTCTAGCTTATGAATCAGAGTTTTGCTCGGTTTAAATGAGATATTCATCTAAAACATCAATGTACTGTATTGTAATGAACAAAATGATTTGGCCCCTATCAGCCCCACGCTTGGCATTTGGTCAATATTATCCGGCCCACTTTCGAAAAAAAATGTTTGGTGGTCCCTTCCTTGATGAAGTGATATAATTTAAATTTGGATCGTGGTTTAGGAACCATCTAACAGGTGTATTGTATACATGTGTCGTTGTCGTTGTTTTATATTATTGAATTAAGTGCATAGAGCTTGCAGTTGAGCGGGAATTCGCGTTATTCTATCTATCTATCTGTCTATCTGTCTATCTATCTATCTATCTATCTATCTATCTATCTATCTATCTATCTATCTATCT